GCATGGGGCCATGATGGGAAGATTCACACGGGTGAATCGGTGGTGGGGATTACAACTGAGATGCACAAAATGAAGAATGGTGTAAAAAATAAATAAATAAATTGAAGTTGGAAAAAAAGTGGGAAGGGAGATTTTCTAAACATGAAGTTAGGCCAAGTGGTGGCACGTGGACTGGCACATCTTAGGGGGTGGGGGGAGGCTGGGAGTGGAGACAGGTCCCGTGGAGGGTAGGGGATATGTTCAGCTGAGCTTCTGCTCAAGGAGGAGACCCAAGAACTTCCTAGGAGAGAGGCCTGTGGCCACTTGAATTCTGTGACTGGACAAGGTTCATGCCAGGAACAATCTGGAAAGAGGGCAGTTAGTGGTGCCCTGGGCTGACCGATGCATACTGGGGCTGGTTAGCACAAGCAGGGGAGTCCTCTCCTCCTGGGCCCGCTGCCCTCCCCAGCCTGCTGACTCAGCCTGCCTGGTGGCAGCTGTGATGGGTGACAAGGCCAACATCAGAGGGCGACTGAGCTTCCTAAGAGAAGTCTCTGGCTGCTGTCATTCACAGCTGTATCTTCAGAGGTTTGTGTCAGACCCTCCCTCTATGTCCTGCAGAAAGTGAACACAAAACCTAGCGTCCATCTGTTTGTCTTTCTGGAGGGCAGGCCATTAACTTTCATCTGATTCTCCGCTTGCTCGGGACTGACCCTTGAGGGTAGCTTTCGTTGGCCTCTAGGGTAACTGTGCACTGGCTGGTCCTCCCCTGCCCTCTGTGGCCCAGCCTGGGTAGCCTGCCTCTGTCCCTCACACCCTGGCCTTCCCTGTTCCCAAACTCTTCTCATAGCCGATTTGGCCACGTCACAGCTCTGCCTGAAACCCTTGAGCAACTCCCATGACCCTCGCCTGGATACCAAATACCTGCTGTTCCTTTGCAAGATCAGGCCCCTCCCTACTTCTCCAGCCCCAGCTCTTCCATGTCCCACCCTGTAAGCCCCCACTCACACTCACCTTCTCTCTGGGGTTCTGACATATTCAGGGTCCCAGGTCCAGGTGGTCTATTCTGCACCATGTTCACTGAAGAAGTTTCAGTTGGAAGAATTCAGACCTTTCCTCAGATCTTAGAGAAGGTAACAAAGAGGGAGGGCACTCAATGCAGAGCAAAACAGTTTTTAAAATAAGAAGAAAAGGGCTCTCCCTAGTGGCGCAATGGGTTACAGCGCCATATTATTTAGCTCGCCGAAGCCACAGCAGCGCAAGTTCAATCCCCGGCCAGGGAGCTGACTCACATGGCGCAGCAGACCTCTCCTAGCTCGCCCGCTGCTCCCCTCAGCAATGTACTTCGTCAGTCGGCCTGTTCTGTTCCCCACTGTCTCTGGTGAATCCTCTCACCAATCACTCCTCTGACCTGTACCCCCGTTCTGTAAACATAAATAAATCTTTTAAAAAAAGAAGAGAAAGGGAAAAAAAAGTTCTTTGCTGTGTATGTTAATACTTAAAAAAAAAAACTGTCTATCCACTCATTATACAACTGGCAGGCTCCCCAGTCATGAATGGGGAAAGACACTGTCCTGCTTGCAGGTGCCAGCCCTCTGCCAGCCAGTTTCATTATGGGGCTCCCATAGCTTCCTAGCTCTCTCATCTAGCCAGCTTTAGAGATACAGTTAAGAGAAATCAGGAGATGCCATGCTGGGGAAGGCAGGATGGCGGCAGACAGATAATGTGACGTGGTTTCATCCTCTCCTTTGAGTCTTAGACAGGCTCCTTATCCAGGGCTGCATTTGTAGATCTGCTGGAACATTAGGACCCCTTGTTTCCTTCTTTGGGCCTCGACCCTCTGCAGAAGTCCCAGACTAGGTCAGTCTCTCCACCTGCCCCATGCACTCTCTCAGGGCATTAACCAAAATTAAATCTTTAGGTTTATTTTGGGGCTACTCTGGAGACTTCCACCTAAGCTCTGTAACTGAGCAGTGACTGGTTCCCAAATTCCAAGTGCCTGGCCCACAGCCTGCCACATAATAGGCTCTCAAAAAATATCTGTTGTGCCTGCTTATTCAAATTCTACTTAAAGTCTGCCTCTCTGCAGACTTGGTTTCTCCTCTGTGAAATGCCAGTTTGTCCCTTTCCTGCCCAACAGGACACCAACCTAATAGGCCTAGACAGAGCATCCTCAGCCCGCTTCCCTATTCATTTTCAGAAAACAAACTTCTATATGCAGCTGGATTACTAAACTAAGTCCTCTCTGGGTCCTTTGGATTGATCTTGTCCAGAGTAGGGTGGGGAGGGACATCTACACCCTCCCTGCTCATCACAAGTGCCCCACCTAAGCCTGCTTAGGCTTTCTCCTTCAGCTCAAGCCTCAGAGCCAGGCATCTGCTGGCTTTCCAGAAAATAAGCCTGGCTTTCCACCTCCGCCTTGGGGGAAGCTGGGCACTGCAGCTCGCAGACCTGTCTCCATCCACACACTCTAATCTTTTCTTGTGGGAGTAAAGAGCCCTAAGGTTGCCCTCCCCATCTTTACCAATGGAAAAACAGACCAAAGCGGAGATGTATGTTCGGGTTTAGGGATCAGGGCGCGCTAAACCTATGCATAGGACCAAAGCCCATAGTTTCCCTTCCCCAGATCCAGATCCCCAGGGAGTCGAGCAGTAATTCCGCGTGAAACAGCGACCTCTGGTGGTATAAAAAATGCAACAGCATATGTGGAGGACCACCAAAACAGGTTTTAAAGATCAGGTCACCCATGCAGGGCTCTTGTTTCAAAATCCACAGAAATATGTGAAGTCCTATACAAATGCGCTTTTAAAAAATATATCTAAAAACATTACGAATAAAGATAAAAATTCAACCATAAATCAATCATTAATGATGGTATTAAAACAAGAAAATTTGCTTATGATTTTTAAATGCCAGTTTTAACAGCTTACTGAACATTCATGTGCCAAGAATATCTCTGCCTCTGGGGGTTTTGCTGTTCTGTCATGAAATGTAACCAATATAGATGCAGGTACTTCTACAACATATGCTGATATGTAGTTCCTGAATCCCTACCAGACTCTAGAGGGAAAAGAACCTATTTGGGGGTGTATCTCACCCTTGGCCACATTCCCACTTGGGACCCAGTAGCACTGCCTGACTTTATATACATACTGTGGGATTCTTCAGGAATCAGAGGTAGGCTTTAAATGCGTTTTGGCACATGCAGGGCAAGTCACACAGGCTCTCACTGATTCAGGGGTCTCGTGCTAAGCCCTGAAATGCAGCAGCTCACCCTTACAGCAGAGAATGGACTTTTATTACAGTAAAGGAACTGGGCAAAAGACTGTCTCCAATTTTATGGCATCTGTCTCTTCTCTAAGGATAGAAAGCAACTCAACGAAACCCTGGGTGCCTTCCTAGAAAAACAAGCCTTTGAGAAATTCCCAGGCAGAAATGAGCATGTCTGGAGACCACCTGACCACTCCTGCAAATGGAACCTGAATGATCAACTTTGAATATCCTTTCTGGAGTTGTTGGTAACTGTTTCAAGATTAAATAGATATTTCTAGAAAGTGGCTGCTTTCCTTCTGACACTGAAGAATGAAATCTCACCAACATATGGGCATAGCCATACTTCGTAGACTAGTATTTTCCTACCTACCTCGATGAAGAACACACCAAATAAGACTCCTTCAGAAAGTATAAACTTTGAAAATGGGCTGGAGACAGATGGTCCAATTGTGTTGCTGGCCACTGTGGTGTCACTGTTCCCAATACAAGTGTAACCTGAATCCCCACCTGGGAGCCAGAAATCAGCTGAGAAGAGGCCTCAGGGGAGAGACTGCCCTGGACCCAGGAGGATGGATCTAGCTGGGCCTCAGCACAGCTCATCCTATCCAGCAGGCTGGATCAATTGAGTTCCTGACTTTCACTGAAGGGTTTGGGTAAGTCCCTTCTGCAGCTCCTTGGACAATGTGGGAATTTAGGACAAGAGTTCTGGCTCCTGACCTTAAAGTATGAGCAGAGCCCTTGAAGAGAGAGCATAGTGAATGAGAATGCTCTGGCTGCTGCCTCAATATGACCCCAATCTGCTGCCAGAACTGTCCTATATGTCTGTGCCTACTTCCCGGGGCATGCAAGACCCAGGCCTCCAGACTTGGAGACTACATAGGCTTGGTCCTGTGTCAGGGCCCCAGGCAGCTCCTTTCATGAAAGAGTTCGTTCCTGGCTATAGCTGAGCTGTTAAAAAAAAAAACAAAAAACCATCTGCATCCCTCCCAAGCCAAGGGCCTAAGGCTCCATCCACCGTCATTTCCCCTTTCAGCCCCAGCCTATTCAGCCCCAGCCTAGTTAAGAGGGCGGCACAGGACTCAGATTCGCGGAGGAAGCCTCGGGCCTAAGACCCTCCCCCACCCCCACCCTCATGGAACACTGGGTGTAAGAGGTTATAGCCAGGGAAGAACCTCTCTCTACCAGTTAGAAGGAGAGTCCCCACTCCCAGATGTAATCCCACCTGCCAGGGCTCCCCGCTCTTCAAGGCCCCGCCCCGCAGCCCACAGCCTGCTGGGATTTGTAGTTCCCGGGGCGGGGCCAGCACGGTCAGCGCGGTCCGGAGTGGGTGGGTGTGTGTGTGTCGGGACGTCCGCGGTAGCGTTTCCCGGCCCGCTGAAATCGCCCCGAGGGTCACTGGATGAGGTTGGCATAGGGATCACAGGCCGCGGCTCCAGGACCCCCGGCACCGCCCCCTACTTCTGCCGGGAGTTGTAGTTCCGGCTGGGCCTCGAGCCTGGGCGGGGCCGCGGGGTGGAACCCGGGAGGTTCCTCATTCCTGGCTTTACCGCGAATCATCTGTAGCGGCTAGGGCGGGGCTCTTCCTCCGAGATGCATCTGCGGGCTCCTGGAGGGAAGCCTCTAGTTAGGCAAACTGAGGCACGACAGGGTTGCGCTCTGGCCGGTCCGCCCCGCCTGAGGGCCGTCAGGGCCCAGTGGGCAGGTGGGAGAGCAAAGTTTTGGTTGAAGACTTGGCCTGGGAGGCCCTTGGCAAGGCTGTGATAGATGAGGGCCCAGGGGCCATTTATTTAATAATTCGTGTCTGCTACTAATGTCTCTCAAAAGGAAAAGACCTGCGAGGAGAAACTGGCCACATTAAAGCGGATTACCTGGCAGGGCTGACAGCTAAGATTTTTATTGCCAAATTGGGCAGCCCTGTAAAGGAAGTTCAAGTAGGAAGAATGGTTCTTGGGGTCCAGAAAGCCAAAAAAATGGGGTGACCGTGGTCCATGGGGTTGTTTTGAGGATCAAAGAGATGATGGCCTTGGGCTGGTTTGTGACAGGTGGAGGCTGGGGAAGTTTTGTAAACAGTAAATGCCAGGACAAGGTATGAACTGGAAAGGGGGGCGGGGAACTGTGGGTGTTTTGGAGCCTCACTTTAAGGGTGAGGATTGAGGATCTAATGTGTATATATAGTAGAGTCGATAACATAATAGTGTATAGTGTGGTAACACTATTATGTAGTTGGATTTTGCTAAGAAAGCAGGTCATAAATGTTCACACACACACAGTTTTAATTAACATAAATAAAAAGGAAGGTACACGAACTGTGGCTAAGATGTCTGCATTGAGAAACTGAGAGGTAGGTATATGGAACCTCTCTATACCATTTTTAAGTGGGTTGCAAATGGTCAGGGGTGATCTTGTCACTCAAAAGCTGAAAAGCCCTTTTGATTTCTTTGCTGGAAACTTTGTTGAGTACACAATGCAATGGTTTTTTTAAAAAAAATATTCAGAGTTCTGCAACTAAAACCACAATCTAATTTTAGGACATTTTATCAGACCCCCCCCTTAAAAAAAAAAACAACTTGGACCCTTAAGCAATAATCTGAAACCTCCATCTCCTCTAGCCCCAGGCAACCACTAATCTACTTTCTGTTTCTGTAGATTTGCTTATTCTGTATACATCTCAAATAATTGAAAAGATGTATGCGGTCTTTTGTGACTTCCTTCTCTCACTTAGCATGATAAAAATCATCATCCAGGTCTATCAGTATGCCATACTATTTTTGGAACTTTACATTTGTCTAAAATTATTTTGAAATAAAAACTTGAAGCATACTACCTAGAGGGTGAGCAGACTTAGTTGTTACAAGGACTGACAACTGGCTCTGCCATTCGGTGCACAGCATGGACCCTGCAAGAGGAGCCAGTGAGCAGGACGGCTTCTTCCCAGCTCCACTTCAGGAGATTTGAAGTGTGGCGAGGTTGGAAGAGAAAGAATGGAGTCTCACTACCAGGCTCTGCCATTTGCTAGGGTGGTTCTGGAATAAGTTGTTTTGACTTCATTTTGGATTGACTTTAGCAAATAATGGAAGGAGTAAACAACACAATTATAAAATGAACAGTATAGTGCCAGAACTAGAACTACTGTGTTAGCAATTTTCATGACTTTATTTACATTGTGTTCAAGGCCCTGTGTGGTGCCGGTCTTGAGGAGGAAACCGCTTGTACCCTCCCTGGGAACCAGTGCCCCTACCTCAGTCACCCAGAGTCACACTCTACCACACAGTGCTCTTCCTGTGCTCCTGCTTATTCATGTTGGAGTGGACAGACCCACTTCCCCAAGGAATTCCAGAGAGTCACTGTCCTGATGTCTCTGAGGACCCAGGTGTTCTTAAAAACACATTAACAAATTTTTGAATATTGAGCTTTAGTTTTCTAAATAAACCATCCAGACCCCTGGTCCTTTCTTACAGCAAGTAAAATCTAGAAAAAAAAATAGAGAGATAAAGTTTAGAGATTAGAAACCTCCTGAATCAATTCATTCAAAGAATTATTTTTGGGCAATTGCGAAGTGGGAATTTTTAGGCACTGCAACAAATCCCATCATCATCCCAGGCTGAGGAAATGCAAGAGCTCTTCCTGTACCTCCAGATGGAGTCAGAGACCAGAAGGGACTCCCCATCTAGTGCTCACACTTTGCAGACATGAAACTGAAGCCCATATGGCAGGGTGGTTGGAATTCAAACCAGGAACTGGGTCAGGGAGAATTCTTTGCAACTTCAGGAATCCTTAGATCTGGAAATCAGCCCATAGCCTGGGTCCATGGACCCAGAAACAGTAAGCTGCCCAGGTTGGATGGCCCAAGATGTTCACCAGAGCTTAGGCAGCCAAGCCTGGAAATCAGGGTCCGGTGTCCACCTACCCTACTTTCTTTCATCCAGATGTTTCTCATAGAGGTGGAAGCTTATTAATAATAATGGCATAGCACCTTGCATGTGTCCAGGCCTTTATTCTTTCCAAAGAGTTCCCCGCTGGCTCCTCATAACCCCCCAAAGAAGGAGAGCTGGAGTCCTGTTCTCACTTCACAAGTGAGGCTTAGAAAGTTGATATGACTTTCCCAAGGTGAGAGAGACTGGGCAGTACTAGTAACATTTTTCTTGAATGCCTATTACCTGCTGTGTGTTGGGGTCACCAAGATGACCCCCAGGATGAAGGTCCCTAGGATGAAGAAGCTAACAGGGTGGTGGGAGAGGTACAAGCAGAAGATCATAAAGAGACTTGATGAGGAACTTTGTAGGGAGGTAGAAATGTTTTTTACTAGGATGTGGATTATATAGTTGTTTGCAATATTTTGAAGCTATGGAACTATACACTTATGATTTATGTATTTCACTGTAAATTTTACCTAAAAAATTAGAGTATTCTAGAAGGATCATGTTTACTAGTGCCTTGAATAGGGCAGAGATTCCAGGAGGCCAGGGAACACCTAAGTCCTTCATGGATACAATTCCAGCTGGTTAGGTTGGCTGAAGAGTTTTCAGCCTGGAGGTTGTAGACTGGGCTGGCCCAGTGGCCTTAATGCCCAGACCATCTGGAGAACACGGAGGGAGGCAGGGATTGCAGTGGGTTTTAAAGGAAGGATATTTAAGCTGAGTCCAACAAGCAATTGACCAGGGGAGGGCGAACAGGGGGAAGGAGGGTGTTTTCTAAGCACTCCTCAGGGGAGTGTAGCTGCTAGGTTTTGTCTGGATGGAAAAGGGTAGAATCAGTCTTTGAACTGTGTCCCTTCCCAATTCAGATTGACTTGGTCACATCAGTGGACCTCAGAGAAACTCATGCTGGTTAGATTTTTCAAAACAACTTCTGCCCCCCCCCCCCCCCATTTAAAAAGCCTTTCCATCACTGTGTCAGAAAGCCAGGCTCTGCTCCCTTGGCCAGAGGACCTCTTGCAGGGTTTGCCATGTTCTCTCCATTTAGAAGCCTAGGTGGAAGTGCGAACCACTTGCTGTCTGACACACTTCCTGAAGACCTGGCCTTCTGAGGTGCAGGCTGCTGGCTGGCCTGTTTGCCTCTAAATAAAGGGGAGAAAGGTGAGGTGAGGCAGGTTTAGCAAGGGCTTTGAAGCCAGCCACAACTTTTCTGGTTAGAAAACTGGTTCTGGTACTGAATTGGCAGTGTGACCCTAGACATGTTACTTACCCTCTCTGAGCCTCCCCAGACAACTTCAGGTGTGATGCCTGTATTGAGACCAGGTTAAAAGCACTATAGCTGTTGTAACTTGACTGGGGTCAAGGATCTATCAATTGCACCACACTGAACTGTTAGATTCT